CGTAAAACCCATCGTGAACGCGATGCTTCCACCATCTAAACCTTCGCAAACGCGCTCACACCTATGCGAACGCGATGAACAAATGACCTTGAACCCATCTGATCCAACTTCCTCTGCGCGATCGCCAGTGCCTTCTCGCAAACGCGATATACAACTTTGCAGCCCTTCGCGAACGCGGTACCTGCCTCACGAATGCGAAGGCCAAACATTCACCTCCCTCAGCAGACTCTTCGCGAACGCGAGGGTCCTCTCGCGAACGCGAAGACCAAAATGTCTGCAACTGCTGGAACAAAATCTGCAACTTTCCAAAGACCAAAATGGTCCGATTGACCACCCGAAACACACCCGAGACCCCCGAGACCTCAACTAAAAACACCAACACATCCTAAAACCTTATTCAAACTTGTTCCAATCATCAAAACACCTCAAACAACATCAAATTACTCAAAATATATCGGATTCAAGCCTAATTTTCTAAAATCTTCCGAAACACGCTTTTGATAAAAAACCTAACCAAATCACGTCCGAATGACCTGAAATTTTGCACACACATCCCAAATGACATAATGAAGCTACTGCAACTCTCAGAATTCCATTCTGACCTTTATATCAAAATCTCACCTATCAACCGAAAATCGCCAAAATCTCAACTTCGCCAATTCAAGCCTAATTCTACTCCGGACCTCCAAAACCTATTCCGATCACGCTCCTAAGTCACAAATCACCTCCCGAAGCTAAACGAACCATCGGAACTCACATCCGAGCCCTCTAACACATAAGTCAACATCCAGATGACTTTTCCAACTTAAACCTTCTTAAAAGAAACTAAGTGTCTCAAACCTTACCAAAATTATTACGGACTCGATCCGACCAACCCGGTACCACAAAACACGGATAACGAAGCATAAAGAAGCATAAATGGGGGGAAATAGAGCGGTAATTCATGAGACGATTGGCCGGGTCGTCACACTTATATTCGATTTTAGAGCTTATGACTCTGTACTGCCTAATTTTGGAAGTTAGGTATTATGTATCACTGTATTGGCTATTGTTGGAGTATTATTCTACTATTTATGTTATTTCAGACATATTATATCTTGTTTTGTTATTTTAAATCCTTATTGCATGTTGTCTTACCTAGGTCCACAGGAAAATTATCCGGAAACTCCCTCACTACTGGAACTGACTCAACACTAGGAGTACCAATAGTAACATCTTGAACAAAGGCTAGATATGCCAAACACCTCTTCTCAACTATCTGCTAAGCCTTCAAAAATGAAATCACTCCATTATAATATTAACACATATAACCTATCCATTTCAACCTTGGCAACCCCGCATAGCCAACATCAGTGTCCTAGAATAAAAATCAAGAATAACATGATACAGAGATAACCAATCATGCCCAAAATCACATCGAAGTCCGCCATACTAAGCAATAGAAGATCAACACTAGTCTCATAACCCCCAACGGTTACTACACAAGACCGATACACACGATCCACCACAATAGAGTCACCAACAGGTGTAGATACATGAGCAGAGATATCAAGAACTACGGGGCAAGTCCAAATGTGATGCATAGTACGATCATACATAGGAATATCTAGAACCATGATCATAATGAACTGATGAATATCTGTGGAATACGGAACCATACCTGTAATAAATGTATCGGAGGCCTTCACCTCGATCCTCCCCAAAAAAGCATAAAAGTGAGCTTCTCCACTGCCTGACTGACCTCCACCTATGGGATGTCCCCTAACTGCTTGGGCTCTCCTTCTAGCCGGTGGGGCTGGTGGTGTCACAACTGGAGCTGGAGTCCCGCTCTAAAAACCCTACTGAGCTGCGCCTCTACCACACTTGGGGCAACGCCTCTTGATATACCCCACCTCTCCATAATAAAAACCTCGAGCTGAGAATGGCTACTGAATCCGAGGCGGCCTTTAATAACCCAAGTAACAACTAGAAGAACCCTAGGCTGAAGGAGTACGGTATGAACTCTAGGTTAGTAATGTAGTGAATAAAGACTGGACTGAGGCACCACGAGTGAGCTGATAAGCTAAAGGAACTGCATGCTAGAATGGTTTCTCCCAGAATGATCCCTATCTCCGAATGAGGTACCACTAAAACTACGAGAATGTCGGGGTCTTTTTCCCCTCATCACCAAGGCCTCCCTGCTCTGACCTTGTATGTGCTCAATGCTATGCGTTATATCATGATACTAAAAATCAACCCCTTAATGAACCTCCTAACCTTCTCAACCTTGGTGGGAATCAGAAAAGCTGCATGACAGGCCAACTCAGTGAACCTCATCTCATACTCGGTCACAGACAACTGACCCTACTAAAGGTGCTCAAATTGACCACGCATCTCCTCCCTCCTCGTGTGTGGAATGAAATTATCTAAGAAGAGATGGAAGAACTAATCTCAAGTGAGTGGAATGGACCACACTGGCTTGCTATGCTCATATGACTGCCATCACCTCATGGTTGGCCCCTTAAATTGGATATTAGTGAAACCAAACCCATTCGACTCAACCAAACCAATATTTGTAGAATCTCCTAGAAACTACCTAAGAAATCATGTGAATTTGCCAAAGTATCACCATCAACTTATAGAGGACCCATCTTCTTGAACCAATCGAACCTCTTCTACTATTCCTCAGACATAGCGTCCTGTACAATCGACCCAAGAGTAGCAACAGAAGGATGTCCTCCATTTGGTACTACTCTTTGAGTTTGATAAATAATACCAACCTGCTCCGGAGTGTGAGTAGCAGGAGTTTGTGCTCCTCCCCCGACCTGAGAAGTAGTCGGTGCCATAGGAAGTACTCTGGTCTGTGCCAAACCTACCACAAGACCGAACCAAACTGACAAGAGCATCCCTAAGTACTGGGGTAGCAATAAACCCCTACAAGACTTGAGTTGGTCCAACTGTATCACCCTGATCAAAAGCCTTCTCCTCAACTGGGGCTACTGGTACGGCTGCCGCCCTAGTAGGGATTCTAATTGCAGCGCGAGCTCCACCTCTACCTCTGTCTCGGCCATGGCCTCTCATGGCCCTAACCTGAGGTATTGGTGTCTTCCCAACTGCTCCCAATGAACGAGTTTTCACCATCTGTGTGAGAATAGAAAGACAAGTATTCAAACTTCGAATCAATAAAATCGCTCTATAAAGAATGAAAGTAAGGTAAGTTATCTAACATCAAGTAGCCTCTATAAGTACAGACGTCTTTGTACCGATCCACAAAATTCTACTAGACCTGCTCATGACTCGTGAGACCTACACAACCTATAGCTCTGATACCAACATGTTACGATCCAAAACCCACCTCAAGGCTGTGATGACGCCTAGCCAAACTTGCTAAGCAATCCAACTCATTCGAAATAATAAGTCCATTTCCTTTAGTTAACAATGACACATTATAAAGAAAGATAGAAATAGTCCAAAATATTAACAATATCTAATATAGCCATAATACGGTCTAAACACGACCAATATAGTACAACTCTTAAGACTAGGTGGCACAAGTACACGAGTAACTATTGGAATGAAAATTGTATGTATACATAACAAGCTGACTAAAATACTAATAGACAACAAATAGGAAAAAGGAACAGGGAATCGGGATCTGCAAAATGGATCCAGGGAGCGTAGCTCACCCTAAGTCTTCGTCCGGTCACCTAAGCTCAGTCAAGAATCTCCGCTAGGATCCACCCGAGGATGTACATACAAAAATATGCAGAAACATAGTATGAGTACACCACAATCGGTACCATTATGTATCAAGTCTAACCTCAAAGAAGTAGTGACGAAGCTAGATGCATCTGAATACTTACAACACAGATGTAATAACAGAATTTAGAAATAAATAGTAGATAATATTAGGAATAATGAGAATTAAAGATATCAATAGTCGAAAGATGCTAAGCTTGTTTTTCTAGTACAAGAAATAATCATAACGTTGCCCAGATATAGTATTAAGAGATATCATGCTCAAATAATGGAGTCGGGGCTCCAATCTAGAATATAGGGTGTCAAGGCAAAACTAGCATCTAAATGAATGCATCTAAGGGAGTCAACAATATCTATGCATGCTTAACCGATACATGATCCATGTAACCCAATACACAATACATGAATCACGCAACTCGATAAAAATTCATGTATCGACTCGGTACAAAATTCATGTACCAACCATGCTCATAGTGCCCAAAGTAATGTGGTTAATCACCTAACTCCGAAGGGATGGATCAAAATCCAAGCACAAAGAGGAGCTTATAGCATCACTTATAATCAAATATATGATCATCATGCCATGTGTGCCATAACTGTATCTCATCTGCACGCCCTACTTTTCGTGCCAAAATCCTCAGTCCAAAGCAAGTGTCCAAAAAAAAAAATATGTATGTGTTCAACAATTACAGATAAAGGATGCACAAAGACTTAATAAAATCATACAGATATGTGCTAATAGAATCTCTATGTGACTATGAACAAGTTAAGCAATTTAACGTATCAAGGAGAAGTTCCCATGTCTTTGTAAATAATCATAAACCTATGCATAATTTCTTACATGAATAAGAGAGAAAACGTCGTTACATAAGCCAAACAAATCATGAATCAAATGAGCACAAAGTCAAACAAGGCATAAAATATTCCAATTCTACCCTGGTCATAATGTAAACTCGGTAAGTGCATATATGCTCACCACCATGTATATACCATCCCCAAAACCCACTACCAGAAATTAGGCTTGTGGAACGCTTCTTTTGGCAACAGTTGTATAACCGTTGCTATAGCAAATCTAAGGTAACGGTTATACCCGTTGCCTAAGGGTATTGGTCCTATTGGGACACTTTAGCTCCTAAACCGTTGCGCAAGTGACAGGACCGTTGCAATAGCCGTACCTACAGTAACGGTTTCTGAAGCCGTTCTAAGAAGAGTAACTGTGGCGACGGTTCTTGGAACAAATAGTCTGCTGCAACGGTTTCTTTCCTTCTTTTTTAATTTCACTGAACCCAGAGCTGCAGAACCTACAAGGTTTCTTTTTTCTTTTAGCTTAACTTTCTAATATATTTAAACCCACAGAAAATAAGGCATATCAAAACAATAGCCTCCAAAGTACATCACTCTTAAAACACATCGAAGATTAACAAAGCCAGATCTCGTTTTCATGTGACTTATGGAGCTCGCTGATCTAGGGCCACCGTTTCCTTCTCTTGCTTGGTCTCCACGATAAAAGCCAGAACTGACCATTATTGGTCCGAAAAATACTAACCCATTCTCTATTAGTTATTTTCAGGTTAGTATTTTTTTCATATTACTGCAATGGAATTTTGGGGGGTTTCTTCTAATTTGTTCAATCTTATCTCATCTAAGTGGGTGAATAGGCTAATAATCAATTTTGGGATTATAAGTGTGTGGGTAAAAGGATTTCGAATACCTAAATGTGCTTTGGTATGTTGAACGAAATTAGATATTGCATTGAGTGAGTTGCTTGCTTGTTGGCGTTAAAATTATGCTTTGCACATCAGACGTTTGACAAAATGCCGGACCATTAGTAGCAAGCAGGCTCATTCTATTTCTTTTCTTTTTTTCAAGGATTAATCACTGTTCCCTGGACAATTGAATAGCCACTAGTTTTTTCTTTTTCTTAACAAGGTAAAAAAAAAGCTTGCTACTAATGAAAGGATTGAAATTATGACTTTGAACATGTAACACATTGTATAAATCTGCTTACGGAATTGAAAAATGAACATATACGTCACAAGCTTAATAGACTGTTTAATTATCTTACAAAGATACCACATACATCTAGATCAAATATATTTACAGAATGTGTAATCGCACATACTAGAATAACGTATCTCCATTTTAATATGAAAACACAAGGAATATACATAGAAATAAATTTAGAACCCTGTATTGGATTAGTCTCACTTTATCGAACCTTATGTTTTTAGGAGTTCTGATGTTAGAAAAATTGCGTTTGTCATACTCTTGTAATGACATATATAATGATGTTTGCTTTAGTCAAAGATTGAGGTGTATCTTAGCCCCTTGTCCTACTTGTTGTGGTTCATTGGTTTTAGTATGATAATTAGCGCAATACTCAGTATTTTGACATCATGAATAAAAATAGAAAATTACAAAAAACAAATAACATTGAACCAACTTAGGATCTAATCTGACATTACTCGATGTGAATTTATAATCACTTAGACTATTAGCCGCAATATGCTCCAGCTTTGCCTTCACGAGTAACTGCTTGAGCATGTCAAGTGTAGGTCTATATCCATGTCTGGACGGCTACCATTCTGACAGTATAGCACCATACCAATATTTTTTTTGGTTTGCAATGATTAAATGTAGAAAAATTTCATTATTATGGAGCTAAGCTAACAAAAAAAATATAAAACAATAGTGGTTGACTATGGTAAATTTTAATATACACAGGTGAAATTTTTGTAGATCTTTGTACCTTTCAGTAAAAGCTCGTCAAAGCTCGTCTGGAGTCTCTTGGCGCATATTCTTTTTTAAATATTTATCATGTGACTCGAATTTCTATGAATTTGGAAATTAAAAGAATAATGATTAAGTGAACACTTTGGCAAAATGAACCTATGAGCAGTATAAATTTGGTTTAATTTTGTCGGTTTATTATAATTTATTGAGTAAATTACAACTAGTTGTATCACTTTGTCATCCTGTTGCTTAGTCTGACCCTTAAATATTTCTTGTACTGGATATTTTGAGAACTATTCACTCTAATTGCACAAAGCATCCATGTAGTTATAGTTTATGACTATTGTAGTTTTCTCGACACGAGACCAATTTGAACAAGACAGACAGTTAGAAAGACAATAAGTATGAATCTCAATTATTGTCAAATTGACATCCACATCAGAGTAAGCAAACAGATTCATCAAAAAAGTCCCAACTCTTTTGTGAATGGGGGATGGAAGGGCCCTTTCAGCCGGTACTAGAAAATATAGTTCGAGGAATGAGGTTTATTATTTATCTGGAAGTTGGAACTTCTGTTTTTTTCTCTTGTGGGCATAATAAAAAAAATCCAAGTCTCGTGTTGGGTCAATTTTTTTAAAAATTTTATAGTTTGAGATTGCTTCAGTGAGAAACCTGAACTTGCATTTTCTCTCTATTTTCTATTCCGTATTAGCTGGATCAAGTATTCTACTACTTGTACTGCCTTTCGTAGTTTAAGATCATTGAACATGTTTTTTTTTAATTTAAAGGGAGTTAAATTGGATTGTATTGAGATGGATTAACAGGTCAATTATGTATTTGACAAAAGATCTTTTAGCACATCATATTAGTATTTGGCATAAAACTGTGAGTGTCTACAAATCATATTAGGGTTCATTATCCTATTATTGTGGTTTGATATATTTTCATGTTTAACTTCAGCTGGTGTAAGAATCTTGGTTCCATAAGCTCGACATGATGCTGCGAAGTTCTGGTTTTGTTGTAGATATGAAATGCCAGCTCATGTATTATCTAAATGGTATGTTCATGTGTTTCATAAGAGTCTATGTTTCCTTAAATTCTCACATTTAACTTCACTTTGAATGGAGTATTCTTGTCTTCTTAAGTGAATCCAACTAAGACTGTCTTTAACGGACCAAATACAGTTCATTCATTGTATGTACATGTATGTGTGTGTGTATATACATATATATATAAATATTGGAAGAGTATGCTCGAGCAACTACTTTTAGAAACTAATGGGTTATTCTGGCTAAGTCTTACAACTAGCATCAACTAAGCTTTTACTTGCAAAAGTAAAGCTTATTACTTGTAAATAATTCCTTCCTGCACGCAGAGTACAAGAATAGGTTCTTCTTGCTAATATAACCTGAAATTAGAGAATTCTATTGGGGACAAAGATTATCAAACTCTTGTCTGGTAACTTTGTGATTTTCAATTTGGATTATTTATTGTATTTCTTTTTGTTGACATCATCCTAATTACAAGAACTTATTTGATGGACTGACTAAAATAAATATAATGTGTCTTTACTTTGACACCATTTAGAAAAATAACGAGCCTTATAATCAGGCCAATCTAAAAGTCTTAGGATTTTGTGTTAATCTCCGTGATATGGTCGAAATGAAAGATCTATTTTTTTTGTTAATTTTTCAATACAACTTAAATACTTTCCTTTAGTCCTGTTTGTATTAGCTTGTAACTTCTGTGTTTGCCTTTTTCTTTATCTAGCTCTTTTATGACGTGACTTGACATAGTATACATGTATTGAGAAAATTTTCTTGTGAAAATTTTGTTGAATAATTAATTTATTATTTTTGTAGGTAAAGCAAATGAACAAGGGAAGACACAAGAGTGAAGACCTTAAACATTTGGTTGATCGTCACATGCTCTACGAATCTTTTATAGTAGAACTTTTTGCAAACTTATGTATGTTAGCTCCTGAATTATCAAACAATATATAATTTTCCATTTATATGTGGATAACACTAGTAGAGTATTTTGGAGTATGCTAATGAATAAATCCTTCGCAATTAATATAAATTTTAGTATGGTATATTTCATTATATAGGTAATCAATTCATCGTTGTTTTGTATTACACCACTACAATAGGTTCCATAAAGCGTTGCAATAGTCTCTACAAAACTGTTATAATAGATAATAAAACTGTTGCAATAGCCCAAAATAGCCGTTGCAATAACCCCAAATAACCGTTACAATAGTTCCTAATGGTCGTTGCTATAGCCTAAAGTATCGTTGCAAAAGTACTATTGCAACGGTGTTAAATCGTTCCACTTGAATAAATAACCGTTGCAATAAATAGTTCTTTAGCAACGTTTTAAATACCGTTACAATAGCAGTCCCTATGGCAACAGTTGTGTAACCGTTGCAAGAAACCTTTGCGATAGATCTATTGGCACGCGACCTGATGAAATGGTCCTCGAACCGTTGCGATAGGTCTACTGCAACGGTTTTACTATCTATTGCAACGGTTTTACTATCTATTGCAACGGTTTCTAATGCGTTACCGTAGGCCTATTTTCTAGTTGTGACCTTAAACACATAGCAATCAAGTCAAATCCTAGGGGTTTCCCTCCTAACAAGGTTAGCCAAGAGAATTACCTCCACTGGTAGCCTTTAACCTTCCAAAATTGCTTTTCCTCTCAAATCAACCTCCGAAAGAGCTGAATCTAGACAAATACAACTCAATAACATCAAATAAAGCCGTAAAAATAAACCCCAAACAGTAAAGTTCAAATCTTTAATCAAATATACAAAGTCAACCAAAAAGTCAACAAGGGCTCGCACCTCGAAATCCAACTAAACTCGCCAGTCCGAACACCCATTCTAATATGAGTCAAAATATACATGTTTCATCCAAAATCGACTCTTTATCGGGGTTCTATTCTAAATTTCCAAAAGGTTTTCCAATATCTCCCACCCCCTCCCCAAATTTCTCTTCCAAATATCATAATTTATGTGTAAACATCCATGGGGAAACAAGATGTAATTTCAAAATCAAGTATAAATCACTTACCCTCAAAGAGGTGATAAAATTCTCCTCAAAAATCCCCTCTGGCAGTGCTCCAAAACTCAAATCAATGAAAAATGCTCAAACCGTCGAAATATACCTTCTGCCTAGCGACTTCCACATTTGCATCAAATTTGTTGCTTCTGCAGTCATATCCTAACTTATGTGAGGTCACTTAAGTTTCGGACCACTTGCACCTATGGAACTCCGCTTCTGCGAACCCGTAGGTGTGACAAAAATCCCGTTTCTGCGCAGAACTCCCCAAGCTTGCCTATCTCCGCTTTTGCTCCCAATAATTCCGCATCTCCAATCTTGCAGATGCGCATAAATCTTCGCATCTATGGACCTTCCAATCCCAGTCTTACCTGAATCTACGGATGCTTTTCTACTTCTGCGGGCTCGCACCTACGGGAAACCTCACAGGTGCGATACACCAGAACCAAAACATCCATCCAACATCAAATGATTTGAAACCCATCGAAAACACCCCTAAGCCCCCTGGACCTAGTCCAATCATACTAGCAAGTCCTAATACCTTCCCCAAACCTATCCAAAGTCTAAGAATCAATTATTGAAACCCAAGTTGAACTTCTCTTATATTCATTAGCTTCTAAACTTCAAACCACGTGTTTGATTTAAGCCTAACCAATCCGGATTCCAATCAAACTTTGGATACAAGTTCCAAATGATATAACAAACCTATACCAAGTTCCGAAATAACAATCCGACTATGATAACATCAAAGTTAGCCCCAACTCAAACCTATTAACTCTGCAATCTCACCAATTGCCAAGTTTCGGCAAATAGAGCCAAAATATCCTAGGAACCTCCAAATCAAATCCCGAACATACGCTAAAATCTAAAATCACCATATGAATTTATTGGAACCATCGAAACACCAATTCGAGGTCATTTATAATTTAGTCAAACGTTAGTTAACTCTTACAACTTAGGCTTCCAAAATGAGACTAAGTGTCTCAATTCGCTCTCAAACATTTCCGAAGCCAAACCAACCTCCCCAGGAGTCAAAAAACAAGAAACACACATATTGGAAGCATATACACAAAACAACCAGTTGGGTTGTCACAGAAGGGGTCTCGGCGGTCGGGTGTGTTTCGGAAGGATTCTGGAGCATTTTGGTGTCTTATAGCAGTCCTGATTTTGGTTCTTCACACATGCGATAGATTGGTTGTAGGTTCAAGGCCACTTTCGCGGATTGTCTATCGCTTTTGCGAAGTTAAAATGGTTTGGAAGTGGTGACTTCTGCGTTAGAAAGAGTGCAGGTATGTGGCTGCACCTGCAGAGTTTTAGTCGCAGATACGAGGAACAAACCTGGCATAGGAGTCCACATTTGAAAAATGTATGGTGTAGATGCGGGGTCACATTTGCGATGGGTGTTGTGCATTTGCAAAGTCGCAGGTGTGAAGGTTGGAAGCCTGAATGGAGTTTTCATATGCCGGGGGGGGAGATGGGGGAGGGAGAGGGGATAGGGCGCAGATGTAGTATCACAGATGTGATGGTCTTTTCCGTAGATGCTAGACGACTGGCAGACTTTATAATTTTGAGGGTTAGCTCAATTTTTCCCTATTTTGAGATTTGAAGCTCGGGAAGGAATCTTTTGAGGAGATTTTTATCACTACTTTAAGGGTAAGTAATTTCGGCTGTGGCACCTCATTTTTCACCCCGAAAGGGTATAGGGGAGTTTTTTCAATTAAAATGACATTAATCAAAATGGGATTATTTTATTTAATTTTTAGAGTCACCACTTGGAATAGTTTATTTGATGTCCCAAGTCACCGATTTATTTTAAATCCCAAATCAAGGAAATCGACTTTATTTAGAAGTCTGCGAAACCAGAAATTCTTAGTAAGGAATTCTGTTAACCCGTGAGAAGGTGTTAGGCATTGCCGGGATCCGTGGTTCGAGCACGGTCGCTTAACTATTAATATTGGCCTAATTATCTGATTTACTACATATTTTAAACCTAGTGTGCATTTTTAAACTTTATAACCGCTTTTAATTATTTTTATGGAATTATTCTGGAACAAGTTACGGTTGTCGTACACTTGTTTGTTTGATACACATTGCGAATCATGTCACGGGAACCGTACCCACGATCTACAACATTTTTAGTTTAATAAATTTATTAGATGTTGTGGCCGGGTCACATAGATTTACCCCCAGATTTGGAAATTAAGTATCACAACTACGTCACGGGAACCGTACCCGTAGCAATGATGATTTTATTATAAACGCACCTAAAGTAAACTATGAATGTTCAAACTTGTTTAATACCTAAGTTATAATATTAGTGTAAGGGCCATAGGTGATTCAATTGTAGATGGCACACCTCAATTTATTTTAAAAGAATTATACTTAATTAAAGCAATCTAAGGATGTTCTTATTTAAAACTAATTTGAACTTAATATAAAGCTATTAATTAGATACAATGCTTTGGGGTATAGGTATTGGGCCTTTAGTCATTTTTTTTTGGATAAGGGGAATCGGGCCAGCAGTAGCCCATTAGGTTATTTGGTCAGGGCCACACCCACATTGATGTTGTATTGCGCTCAGAATTCAGCTCAAAAATGAAAGAGATTCAAGGGCTTTGACTGGTCCGACTTTGAACAAGGCTGGCCCACATTGGGCTTATAATAGGCGAGCCCAGTCACTAATCATTTCTAGCTGGGCCTATCCACCTCTACATCTGAACTAGCCATACTTACGCATTTATCAAAAGAATTGCAACAAACGATTCACTTTTAATATAGAAGAATCAGAATCCGTAAAAAAATTTCAAAACACAATTCAAGCTTTGAAGATTAATTTCACTAATGTGATTTGCAGGACATAAAAGGCATTTATTTGCATTATTGTTCACAAGAAAAACCTTTATAACTGAACTACACTATTGGGTTTAATTCCCAAGCCCAGTAGCCTGGGCCCAGACTTGCTCAAATAATTCCAGATTGGCCTTGTTGCAAGTCTGGCCCAAATTGTATTCAAACAATTCTACAATAATGGGGCTATGCTTATTACAAGGTAAATCATCTTGTTATGACCTTAAACTAGTAATCAGACATAATCGAACTTGAATTTAACATTCCAACAGTCCATTTTACTATTGACAGTCCATACATTACAACATGCTCCTAAATACAACTTTGTGTCTAAAAGAAAAGCAAGAAAAGTTTAAGATAAAAAGTAACATTTTTCCTAACTATAAGTCTTTCAGCTATTACAAAAAAACCTTTTGAACCAACTTCAGCTTGCAAGAAATTCAGCTATAGAGTTGTTTCCTACAAGCCAAGCCTTGAATTCCAGCCCTGAAACTTCTTTGCCTTATTGCCATTCATATACAAAACAACAGAAATAAAGTACACATTTCAGTGTTTGCAGAAATCCATTTGTTGGTGTATTCATAACTAAAATGACAAAGCAGCAGAAAGAAAGAAAGAAAACCACTTCAGCAATCGAAGTTCACATTTAGTATAAGGTCTTGCCTAAAAATCTTCAGACTTAGACATCTTTCAAAGAAGGAGTTACAAACATTAGTAAGCCAAACAAAGGGAGTCATGTTAGTGCATTTCCATGTTCAACAAATAAAATCTACTATATTTTTACCAAATCAGTCAAATATCACATGGAAACTCATTCATTATACATATCTTGCAAACTTGCTGATACTATATTATCTCAAAACAAGAAGTACGTGAGGAAAAGTGAGATTAGTACCTTGCAGCAGCAAGAAACAAGCAGTAAACAAATGAAATGTTTGACCAAAACCTTAAGGAAGGAGCAGCCAACAAAAGACCAAGCAGCAACAGTGCAAAACCAACCCAGAAAACCAGAATCAACACTCAAATGTCTCCAAAATCAGAGTATCAGAAAATTAGCCTAGAAGCTTAATCAGATAAACTGAACTTTTCAGGAAAAAGGTTTCGAGGAGCTTTTCTCTTTCTCTTTCAGAGCTTTTGGGTGCAGAAAATGCTGATGAATGTGTGTGAAAAATGGGTGAATGGCTT